GGTGATGTTTAGGACTAGGATGTTTAGGTTTAGTTCTGCACACTTTTAATCTGGGATTGCTCACACCAAAGTTGTTCAGGGAAAGGAGGGACATTCAGCAGAACCTGTTGAACTGACAGACTGAAGAAACCCACCTACCCACTGAAGTGCCCGCCTACGAAAGTTTGCTTTTAGGCATCATAGTAACACATGAAAATGCAGCAGATGTCTTGAGAAACAGCCCACTAGTTTTTCTTCTGCTTGTTGGAAGATGGACGTAGGTAACTACCCAATTTTCTTCGCTATGGATTCATACTGTAACATGATTGGTTGACCAGTGTGGAATGGTATTTTTCTTTGGCCTGTTTGTCAGTGATGTTAAAGTCTGTTTTTTTCTCTTTTCCTGAATAAAAGGAAAGGAAGGACGTTTGAAAGGAAGTTTCCCCCTAGGTTAGATAAGGGAGAAACAACTCAAGATTCTCACGTCCTGGTGTGAATAGAAAACAATTGTCATCTCTGTCCTTTGATGAGCTAAAGTGTTTTCTCTTGGGAAATGTTAATGTGTGGGTAGTCCCCTTTTTATGCAGGGGTTGGCATGCTGCAGCCTCAGAACATCACTGAACTGCATTTAGGCTGGTCGTGGGTTCTCCTTTGCAAGGTAAAATAAAACCTTTTCTGCCTATAATATCAACTCTTTGCACTCATATTTTTTTTTAACTCGACACCAGTTATGGGTGTAATCTATTCATTTAACAGAACAAGATGGACTCTCACAATTATAGCAAGAATTCAGCTTACAGGCAAGACAAACGTTACCAAAGTGCCAATATCAGCAGGTCTTGGAGTATCTTTCTTTCATACCAACCAGAACTGACATTAAAAACTCCCTAGACATTCTTCTGTTTGTTGGAACACGGACGTAGGTAACTACCCAATTTTGTTCACTGGTCATTCTTTTTTTCCTTCTTCTGTTTTCTAGTTAACAGGTGTTGCTTTAAGGCTGTTGAAAGTTTGTTATTGTCCTGTATTGGTTGCAGAACTGTATCATATTTTATTTTCATCATCTCTTTCCCAGTTCACACTTGAAACAAAAAGACTAAAATTGATCTTATTGTGTGTTTGTGTGCCAGCTACACACTTGTTTATATCAATCTAGACCTCCCGTAGCAGTTAAAAATAAATTCTAAGGTTTATCTTCAATCCTGAGAGTGTAAAAATCGTCTGTCATCGCTTTAAAATGATGTTTGAACATTTGCTCAAAACAAAAAGCTGAAATTTCTCAAGCTTCATTTTGTAGGCTAATGGCAGACTAGATCCTGGTTGTGCTGGAGATAAAAATGCTATAAATGGCTGCCGTCCAGTCTGGTAATAACGAGTCTCTGTAGGATGACATAAACTGCAGGTAGTGGGAGTGACTGTTGTGAGTTTGTGGGCACATCAGCCAGAACTGTAAAATGTGCTTGATTCGTGAGAATGTTGCTCATTAATTAGTTGTTGAGCCCGCTCTGGAACACAATCTCCCATTCGCTGTGGAGCAGCAGGACACTGTCCGTCAGATGCCCCTCTCCACAGACACCTACTCCAGCTCTGCTTAGAGAAGCATGGGGTGCTCCCAGGACAGCAAAGAGACATAGTCCATCCAGTGTTTCCTGGATCATCACCTAGATCTCCTCCCTATGGGATGTGTCTGGAACGCCTCCTGAGGGAGGCGTCCAGGAGCATCCAACAAAGGTGTCACTATCTCCTCAGCTTTATCCTTTCAATATTGAGGAAAAGTGACTCAAATGACCTAGCTCCTCAATCTATCTCTAAGGGGAAGCCCAGCCACCCTGCTGAAAAAAATAATTTCAACCACTTGTATCGTGATCTCGTTCTTTGGGTCATGATCAAGATTTCATGTCCATAGCTGAGGGAAGGAATGTAGACCGACTGATAAATCGAGAGCTTTGACTTTTTGATCTCTTCACCATGACAGACTGGTGCAGCATCCGCAGTTTAGCAGCAGCCACACAGATCCGTCTATTTATCTCCTGCTCCATTCTCTGCTCACTTGTGAATAGAACCCAGGATACTTAAACTCCTGTACTTGAGGCAGGGACTTTCCTTCAAAGAGAACCATGGCCTCAGACTTTGAGGAGCTTATTCTCATTCCGGTACCCAAACCGGAGCCCTGTGGTCCCTGACTGCGCCGAAAAATCCTGGCTGCACTAGAAATTATGTCCAAACAAGACCGAGAACAGGTCTGACTTAATGCCAGTCTCCTGCTCCACTTATACAGTGACCATATCGCCCCTAATAAGGGCCCTCCCACTCCATACTCCTGAAGCGCCTCCCACAAGGCACCACGAGAGACCCAGCCAAATGGCTTCTCCAGATCCAAAAAGCACATGTGGACTGGTTAGGCAAACTCCCATGAACCTTCTAACACCCTGCAGAGGATGGAGAGCTGGTCTCCTGCTCTGTGGCCACATTGAAAACCACAATGCTCTTCCTGAAGCCGGGGTTCTACCATCAGCCAGACTCTCCTCTCCAGCTCCTTGTTAAAGACCTTTCCTAGGTCTATGCCATGGAGAGTTTCATTATTGCACAGAAGTTCAACAATGAAACACTACTTGGGTTCAGAACTTGGGGTGGGTTCCTCCTTATCCTGCCCCTCCAGCTGTAACTGCTGTTTCCCACTAAGGTGTTGAAGTCCCCCAGCGGAATGATGGAATACCTGGGAGGGGCGCTATTCATTTTAGGTCAATGTTGCAGCAAGGACACTTGCGTCCAACATCTAGGGAGCCAGAAGCAAGCAATATGGTTTCATCTGTGCTATATTCAACAAATTGGTCATTTTGAGAGATATAAATACATCTTGAAATATAATTTTACAGTTATTTTAATTTTAAACTGAAATTACTGGCTCACCATCTTTAATTAACAACATAAGAAGAGCATAAAATGAAATGAAAATGAAAGGAAGTCCTAACTCGGGAATGTGTGCTATACCTGCAGAGAAGGGCAGGAATGCTTCTCTCTTCACAAATTTCCCATTAGCATCCAGAAAGTGCCCAGGATTGAAGGTGTCTGGAGTTTCCCATTCATTTTTATCAAACAGCACAGAGGTCAACATGGGCAGCACTGATGTTCCCTGAAACATCACAATCGAGAAGATAAAAAGCTGAAATAGAAAAGTAGTTTCAACCAAATTCTGTCACTAAATTAAATTAACCTTTGGAATGAAGTAGCCACCCAGAGTTGTATCCTTAGCAGCAACTCTGAGGCCATTGAGAGGAACAATGTTACCCATCCTCTGGATCTCATGGATTACAGCGTCAGTGTAAGGCATGTTGGGTCTGTCAGCCATGGAGGGTTGACGAGAACGTCCGATGACTTTATCTATTTCTGCATGGACCTTCTCTATAAAACGAAAGGAAACATTTAAGTAAAGATCTCACTCATTTTATTAAAATAAATCAAAGCTATTAAAATCAGTCATAGCACGCTGATTCTCATGGATTGAACACCTGCTGAATACTTTTCCACCATAAAAAAACTTATCCTTTTGAGTCTCTTTGATAATTATATTAATAAGGTAAACTGGTAATAACAGAGCTGACCTTAGATTTACAGTAAGTTGTGCATATCTTTTACCTTATTTTATTTTTTGCCCTTTTTCTGTTTTTAAGTTTAACTTCGTCCCCCATTTGCCATTTAAGCCCACCTTTTGCAGGTGGGCTTAGGAGTATGGTTGATGGGTAAAGAATATACAACTCTGGTTGAAATATTCAATTTAGCCCTGAACCAGGGACCAGCTCGGAGAGGGGGAGCTTATCACTGGCATAGCCATGGAAAAGCATTTGGAAGAGCAGGCCACCCTGGTGGTGAGTGAAACAGTTCCAGATGGCTGTGGCTTTGCAGGCAGGCTGTAGGCTTACTCCAGGGGCAGCAGAGTTAAAATAGTGGCCCAACCCCTCAGTATGCCCAGACTGCATCGCACCATGAGGGTAGGGACCAGCTCACATGAAAGGTGCAAGCGGTCAGCTGTGATGTTGGCTACCCACCCGCCACGTCTCAAAACTTGGAACAAGGAGTCTGATGCTCAGGTGAGCCAGGAGCTGAACGAAACCCCCTAGTGCAATGAAAGAGATAACCTGGGTGCACCCCCGGCCCATCTTGCCCACTCTGTCTTGGACATGGAGCATAAGGATGTATGGTAGGTCCTGAAACATGGTGAAATATGCCTGGGCAGGGCAAAGCCAAGGGAAACTCTGGTGGATGCTTGTAGCGGTCCTGACGTGAAAATCAATTGTCCAACCTGGGTGAAGGGATAAAAGTCTAATCAAACCATCAAGTAAGTCCGAAGTTACCCTCTGGATCACTTCAGTTGGTCTCTGATATCTGGCACTGGCTGTAAGGAGAGCTGATCATGACTGGGCTGGGGTGTGACTAGACGGTTATATTCCTCTCCAATCTTTCATAGCATGTTTCAGGGGAATGTGGTGCTAAATGACTTGCAGACGACCTGATTCTGGATCAGGGTTTCGTAGGCGGCAGAACAGCTCTGTCGCTACAATCTATTGAAAGTCAGCTGTCAATCCAAGTTTCTGTTGCCCGACGTCTGGGGCCTCAATTACTCCCTCCCTTATGGAGCTAAACCTGTTGACTTACAGCTTAAGAAAAGCTACTTTACTGACTACCAAATTATTCCCTAGTAATTGTTTTATGGACTTTTTTTAAGTTAAGCATCTTATCAAGTACTTACTGTGGAGCTAATAATTGCCTAACATTAGCTAATGTTTTTATGTAAAATTGCCAGTCCGGACCGGCATTAGACCCAAATGTTATTTTATTCCTCAGTTATTCATTAAACTTATAAAAGTGACATCTGTTTTGTATTTATTTTGTGTTTGGAAAATTAAACAAACAAGCATTAATCACTTAAAAAGTATCACCAACCTTGAACATGAGGGTATTTTATGAGAAAGACTAAAGCCCACTGCAGTGTGGTGGCTGTTGTCTCGGTTCCAGCAGCAAAGAGGTCAAGAGAGCAGAAAGCCAGGTTGCACTCTGTGAAGCCCAGGTTGGACTCTTTTTGCTATGCAGAAATGTACAGAAGACATGTTGGTTAATGATGCCTAACAGAACAGAACTAGTTGTGTTTCAAAATAAACAAGAGCCAGCTGCTTACATTCTTCATTTCAATGAGAAAAGTGTCGATGTAGTCTCTTGGGTTGTTCTGGTCCAAATCCTTCCTGTGATTTTCAACTTCCTCATGTAGGAAATTCAGTATGCCGTTATAAATAGTGAAAATTTTGTTGTGGGGACCTGGCAGGTATTTCATCACACTGGGGAATGCCTGATAGAGCTGTTCCAAGAAATAAACAAACAGCAATGTAAAAAGGTTACATTTTCCACATTCCTAATAAATCCTCTCTCTTATTGGAGGCACCATTAGTGCTGATAAACTTACTTCACCCCATATGCTCCCCTCCAGGTAAATCACCTCAGACATTTGCTTCAGCATTATCTGAAACCTGTGGTCTGTGTAGTCGTATCGTTTTCCCATAACAAGCTGGCAAATAACGTTGGCCACTGCGTTGTTGAACAGACCAGCAGGGCTGAACGGTTTACCTGAAGGAGAGAAAAGCCTGATTGAAAAAGAGAACCACCTTTCCCATTAACATAAGCATTTTACATTGAATATAACTCACCATTCTCACTCTCTATTTCCTCCTGGAGGTGTCGGATCTCCTCACAGATGCTCTGCTCCAGTGTGTTTTTGCCCAGGCCAAAGTTGCGTAATGTAGATAAAGCAAAACGTCTCTGTCGCTTCCATTTTTCACCATTGCTCAAAAAGATACCCCCTACATACAGGTATGCAGAGATGACAACATTAAAGTTGCATTTCAATTATATATTTTCAGCGAAGCAAGAATGTTTCTTCACCTGAGGGCTCAGAGTATAACCTGTCAGCCACAGCATTGTATGGTCGGTCCACAAAGTTCTCAGCTTGGATCACAAGGGCCTCTTTTACCATCTTATATCCATTTAAAATCACCATTGTATCCCAACCAAAGCGAACTCTGAAGACACTACCATAGATGTTGGCCAACTGTGGAGAGAGATTAATGCAGTTAACAGGATGATAAACAGCATCTTCAAGACACCCGTATCTTATTTTTAGGATATTTTAAAAATCTGTTATTTTATTTAGGGGGTAGGGACTACCAAACATAGAAAATTATGCTCTATCTGTACAAGCCAGGATCATTTCTGCCTGGATACATGGACACCCTGACTCACCTTGGCTCAACATTGAAACATCATTATGTAAACCTTCCTCACCTGTTAACATGCTAGGAAGACGTTTGAATGACTTGCCACAAATAGTGAAGGATGATCAATTGATATGTAATGTCTTGTGGGCATGGGGAAAGCTGAGAAAACTGTTTAAGAGTACTCATCTGCTTAATATGGTATCAACACTTATAGACAACCCAGATCTCTTGCCTCAAGACATAGGTTCGAGTTTTGTGGGTTGGAATAAAGCAGGCATAATTAGATTTTCTGATCTCTTTGAACATGGGGCATTCAAATCGTTTGAATCTTTAAAAACACAGTACACGTTATCAAATATGGAATTTTATAAATATTTACAAGTTAGGCATTATCTCATGAAGGAAGCAAAATCATTGATACACCCAACAAACTCGTGTAAACTGGAGAAGTTCCTTCTTGAAAATAAGGATCACAAACATTTTATATCAAACTTTTATTCTGAGATTTATCAGCTAAACCTGGACCAACTGGCATGGTTGAGGAAATCCTGGGAAACTTTACTCAAATGTAAAATAAGCACTCAATTATGGGATAAAATCCTGCTCCTGCCATCTAAAATCTCTGTTTGTAACAGATTTAAAGAAATGCAGTATAACATTTTGCATAATGTATATATTTCTCCTTATATTTTTAGCAAGTACAAGGCAGGAACTTCTCCAGATTGCCCCAAATGTAAAATTTTTGTGGGCACCAGGTTTCACTGTTTGTGGGAATGTGATGTTATTCAGTCATTTTGGAAAGATGTATGTGCCAGAATCAGTACAGCTATTGGTCAAAATGTGTCAGAAAACCCACTGATGTGTTTGTTGGGACATATTCCTAAGCCACTAGTAAAACATGAGCATGTGATACAGTCACTTTTAATGTTAGCAAGGAAGGCCATTATGGTGAAAGGGGTGGGCAGGGAACCCCCCTCCATTTCTTTATGGAAATCATTAATATCTGATGTTATGACTCTGATTAGACTTGGACATTACATTGATGGAATTCTTCAATTCTTCACAAATACCTGGAGGAAGCCACTGGAAACACTGGGAGTGGAATGTAAAAGGGACTTTAACGGACAATCGCTGTGGACATAGAACTCATGGACGGACTCTTGTATATACATGTGAGATGTAGTGCTAATATTGTTTTGACCATTCTTCTACAAAGTTTGTATGTTTGGGAGAAATTAAATAAAAGTAAAAAAAAAAAAAAAATCTGTTATTTTTCCACAGTTGTTGCTATTGTGATAAATGCTACTTTGATATGGTTGTGTAGTCGGGGCCCGACCGGGCTCAGCACTAACAAATGACATGGGCCTGCCCTCCTGTGGACCCACCAACTGGAGAGGGATCCGTAGGCATCGACGGCCGGTTCGCGCACATAGCTTCTGGCTGTAGGGACGTGGAACTAGATGCTTCACTTCTCTGGCATTGCCCATGAGGGGAGGCGGCAAGCTGGGGCAGCCTTGCCCATTGCCCCCATCTCAGTCGTCACGTGTTGGAGTTCACCCTGGTGAACGAGAGGGTCGCGTCCCTACGCCTTTAGCTTGGGGACAGGTCTCTCACCATTGTCTCAGTCTATGGACCCAACATCGGTGTAGAGTACCCTGCCTTCTTGGAGTGCTTGGGAGGGGTACTAGTTGGTGTCCCATCTGGCGACTCCATTGTTCTACTGAGGGACTTCCACGCCCACGTGGGCAGCAACAGTAAGACCTGGACAGGGGATCAGTAATCTGAACCCTGTCTGAACACCCTAGCGGTGTTCTGTTATTGGACTTCAGTGCTAATCACAGATTGTCCATAACGAACACCATGTTCGAGCACAAGGGCGTCCATAATAATAATGTATGTGGCACCAGGACACCCTAGGCCAGAGGTTGATGATCTACTTTGTAAATGGCCTGTACTTATATAGCGCCTTTTTTCAACTCAGGAGACTTGACAAAAGAGCTTTACACTGGATTCAGTCATTCACCCATTCACGCACACACTCACACACTGATGGTCATCTGATCTCTGATTGCGTGTCTCGGACAATCGGCTGAGCTGTCAACCGATCACAACCTGAAGCGTCTGGAGGTCAGATGTGGCAGGCCTAAGCATGTTGTGAGGGTCTGTCGAGAACATCAGGTGGATCCCCGTGTTAGTGCAGTCGTCAACTCCCACTTCCGGAGAAGTTTCTCCTAGATCCCGAGGGAGGTTGTTGACATGGAGTCAGAGTGGTCCATGTTCTCCTCCTTCATTGTCAATGCTATTCGTAGCTGTGGGCGTAAGGTCTCTGGTGCCTGTCGCGGCGGAAATCCCTGAACCCGATAGTGGCAACCCGGAAGTAAGGGATCCCGTCAAGCTGAAGAAAGAGACCTACCTGGCCTTTTTAGCTAGTAGGACTCCAGAGTCAGCTGAGAGGTACTGGCAGGCCAAGCATGCTGTGGCTCGTGTGGTCACAGAGGTAAAAACTTTGGTCTGGGAGTAGTTCGGAGAGGCCATAGAGGAGGACTATCGGTCTGCCTCGAAAGTGTTCTGGCAATTGTCTGCACCTTAGGAGGGGAAAGCAGTGCTTCACCAACTGTTTACAGTGTGGGTGGGGAGCTGCTGAACTTGACTAGGCAGGTTGTCGAGCTGTGGAAGGTGTACTTCGAAGATCACTCCTTCCGAGGAGGAGGAAGAGGCTGGGGACCTGGAGGCGGACTCACCCATCAGCCAGGCTGAAGTTACCAAGGTAGTTAGAAAGCTTCTCATTGGTAGATTCTCAGGGTTGGATGAGTACCTTAAGTCTCTGGATGTTGTAGTACTGTTTTGGCTGACACGTCTCTGCAGTCAGAGACAGTACCCCTGGATTGGCAGACTGGGGTGGTGGTGCCTTTCTTTAAAAAGGGGGACCGGAGGGTATGCTCCAATTACAGAGAAATCACACTCCTCATCCTCTCCGGTAAGGTCTACTCCAGGGTGCAGGAAAGGAGGATGAAGCCGATAGTCGATCTTCAGCAGGAAGAGTCCAGTTCTTGTCCCGATCACGGAACACCGGACAAGCTCTATACCATTCATCGGGTGCTTGAGGCTTCGTGGGAATTCACCCAACTAGTCTACATGTGTTTTGTGGATCTGGAGAAGGCTTTCGACCGTGTCCCTCACTGTGCCCTGTGGGGGGTGATCTGTATGACCGCAGCAGGAGCATGGTTCGCTTTCCAGCAGTAAGTCAGAACTGTTCCTGCTGTAAGTTGGTCTCCACCAGGGCTGACCTTTTTAACCGGTTCTATTTATGACATTTATGGACAGAATTTCTAGGCACAGCCAGGGACCAGAGGGTGTCCGGTTTTGGAACCTCATAATATCATCTCTGCTGTTTGCAGATGATGTTGTCCTGTTGGACTCATCAAACCAGGACATCTGAAGAGCACTGGGACGGTTTGCAGCTGAGGGTGAAGTGGCCGAGAGGAGCATCATCACCTCCAAATCAGAGGCCATGGTTCTTCACCGGAGAAAGGTGGACTTTCCTCTTCAGGTTGGTGGAGAGTCCTTGTCTCAGTGGGAGGAGTTAAAGTATCTCGGGGTCTTGTTCACGAGTGACGGACGGATGGAGAGAGATTGATGAATGCGTGGTTGCAGCGTCTGCAGTGATGTGGTCGCTGTGTTGGACTGTCATGGTGAAGAGGGTGCTGAGTCGGGGGGCAAAGCTCTCGATTTCCTGATCGATCAATGTTCCCACTCTCGCCTATGGTCATGAGATCTGTGTAATGACCAAAAGGACAAGATCGTGAATACAAGTGGCCAAAATGAGTTTCCTTTGCAGGGTGGCTGGGTGCACCCGGGAGAAGAGCTCGGAGTAGAGTTGTTGCTCCTCCACGTCAAAAGGAGCCAGCTGAGGAGGCTCGGGCATCTGTTTCAGATGACTCTTTGTCACCTCCCTCTGGAGGTGTTCCAGGCATGTCCCATTGGGAGGAGGCCTGGAAGGGCTAGAGGGACTATGTCTCTGAGCTCTGAGGGTTTCTGTTTGGAAGTGAATCTCTAAGTACCTGGAGCCAATCACCTGTAATTGTTTGTGAGGGTGAACTTGCGCATGAAAAAATGCTCAATAGTGGTTGTGGAGAGCTGGAGAGGCACACCCCCCGGAGCACTCCAGCGCCAGAAGAGACCCAAAGCCCCAGGTGCCCAAAGGGACCCCAAGAGCGAAGGCACCAAGTAGGGGCCAGCCCCGGAAATCAGACCCCACCAAGGGAGGAGGAGAGACAGCACCGAAAAAGCCCCCCAGCCACCGCCATGCCGGCCCCCCCACGGCACCGACCGAAACGCCCCAACCCCACAGAGCACCGAAACACGCCCCGGCACCAAGCCCCGGCGACCGGCCGCAACACCCAACGCGACCGCACCACCCAGAAAAAACACACAGGCGGCCTCGCCCACGGCCGGGGCCCAAGCGCATCCACCGCGAACCGGCCGCGAGCGCCGCGGGACGCCCCCAAAACAACCCCAGGCCAAAAGCGAGGCCCCACCCCACCAAGACTGATGCCAACAGCGCGCAACGCAACACACCACGCACAGAATCAACCCAAGAGCAGAAAAGCCACCCGGCAGCCGACCGCAAAAAGAGCAGACCGCCGCACCCCACCCACTGCCCGCACCAGCCCCCGACACGCGGCCGGAGGAGATCCCCAATCAGCGCAGCCAGCCCATCCACACCGGCCCCCCAAACACCAGCGGCGCACCCCCAGCAGGACCCCCGCCTGCCCCCTGAGAAAACAAACATGCCAATTAATTTATAAATAATAATTAAAATTAAAATAAATAAAAATTCCCCTATGCAAGAGGAGAAATGCAAGCAGAAAAAACAGAGCCCAAAACAAGACCCAAGACCTGCACCCTACCATGCCGTGCAGCTCCCCTCCCCCCTGAACCGTTAACACAGAACCGTCCTCGGAAAAAGCATTGCCCAGGAACCAGCATCGAAGTGAAGGGACCGGCAATGACACCGAAACAACACCCAGCCCCACCCCGTAGTGGATCCAGTCCCAGGCCCCAGGGATCCGAGGCCCCAGGGGCGCCCGACCCCCAGACAGGAGCCCCAGCAAAGCCCCGGCAGGCCAGCGCCAGCGGAGAGGCCACCAGGGATGAGCCAGCAGCCCCCCGGGCATCCACCCCCAGATCCCGAGCTCCACCAGTGCACCGGTGAGCCCCGATGCCAGCCAGTGGAGGGAGAGCAGGACGGGGGGAATGGGCTCTGCACTTAGCGGAGACTTGATGTATTTGGGAGAGGGTGCAGTTGAGACCCCTCCCTAGTGACCCCACTCACACCACAAAAAATAAATAAATAAATAAATAAATAAATAATAAAAAATACATAAATAAAATAACGCGGACACACATTCACACATAACACTCACATCCAATAATACCAGGACCAAAACCCGGTGGCACCAGTGGTTGGTCCCGGGACTATCGGATGACCCAATTAGTGAACCTAAAATCCGGATGGGGGGGAGTGGAGCGGCGACACCGCCACACCAACCCATCTCATTCCTGCTTCGAGCCCGGCCCCCCACCCCGCACACGGACCGGACCACCCCCAGCAAGAGCCCCCCCCCCCGGGACCGGGGCCCACCCATCCCACGCAGGCCACCCAACCAGAACCCCCCCCCCCCCAAAAAAAATAAAAAATAAAATAAAAATGCCCCTCCTTCCAACCTTCTTTGGGGAGAGCAGAGGCGACAGCCCCGCCGCCGCCAGGCCACCTAGGCCCCGCAGCTGGCCCCAGCCAAAACCACGGACCAGGTGGCTCACTCTTCCTCCAGGCCCAAGACTCCGGGCGGCAGTGAGAAGACCACGATCCTCCCTGCGCCTGCTCAAATGCGGTGTTGTTGCGTGTTGCTCTCAGATGTAATTAAAACTGGGAGTACCAAGAGGGGGTGTCCGGCACAGTCCATCCCCCATCCAGGAGATAGACGGTGCCAGCACACCCCCCTCTTCGACAACCCTGAACCCTCAATGTCTAGATGCGAGAGGGGATGGAGGAGGCCGACCGTGGTGAGGCCCATAAAATAAGCCCCCCCCAGGTGGCCCTGACCCCCACCCCCCAGAAAATGTGGTGGGCTTTTCAGATTAAAAAACCAAGAGCACTTTATCATAAGAACATGGATAGATGTTTTCCTTCAGTATTTTCTGTTTGAAAGCAATCATAATCATACCATTAACTTTATGAATGTTAAAGATCTTAAGTAGTAGAGCAGCCACAGTTCATTGCACTAGCACCATCATGTTTGATTTCATTATATTCTATTTTGCTCTTAACAGTAGTTCAGTAGTATACCCTTTGACAAGGGTATACTACTGCAAAAAAGTCCCAATTTCTTTGTGATTGTCCAAAAAAATTATATCCCCAAAGTGTTGGGTGTTATTTTTCAACCATCCTTCTCTTTAGCAACGTCCCCAACCTTGCTTAAACATGACAACACATTAACCCAATTTCTGATTTCTGTAACACATTTATTGGTTTTGGTATGCAGCCTAAAAGCTGTTGCGGCTGCTTTCTGACTAATCTTTTGAAGCTTTTTAAAAAGGCTCTGGAAGAAATAGGACACAATGAATATAAATACATTAAACCTCTTAAAAAGGAGAAAACAAATCAATACTACTGAAAACATCTGTAATAATATTTCTCCATGAAGTTAAAGGAAAGTTAGAGCAGATATAATTGTAAGTGCTTAGTGTGTGTTAATACCTTGGTGAAATGAACATGCGGCTGATTACTGTCAAAATTCAAGATATTTCCCACAAAGGGAAGAGCTCTGGGTCCAGGAGGAAAGTTTGATGGTTTCTTGTTCTTCAGATAGTCAGCTATCAACAGGAATAATAAACCAAACAAGAAAATCCCTTTAAGGTCGAAGCTCAGCAAAAAATTATAAATCCACATGGTTAAAGGAGGAAAAACAGGCAGCAGAAGGAGAAACAAAACAAACAAACACAAAAATATCGTTCTTATCTGAATTGTCCTATTCCTGCTTTTGTAAAGTCTGTAGTTGAACTCTGCAGCAATAGACTTGCTGGCAGGAAAGTTAAACAGCGAGTGATATACTGTATAAAGGAGAAAGTGCTTTATACCCACAAACCACACCTACAAGCATTGTAGTCCATGTAAGTGAAAACCTTTTCTGATCTATCTCGGATCAAAGTACAAACAACAATAACTGAATCTAATGTAATGGACTGAATGTTATTGTTGTTGGTTTTTGTGTTATTATAGTTTAGAGTGTCTAAATCTTTGATTTTGTCTAACACAGTAACTAAATTTTTTAACAGTTTAAATTACTTCCAACTATTTGGGTAAAAGTTTTTAGATCCTTTTTATTAGGACTTCCCCAATTTCATCTGCAACATTTCATACGCACCTTTGCTACTGATTTACTATTGTATTAACCTAATACCTAAGTTGGCAGGTAGTTGGAGTCAAGTCTACAGAACAAAGTGCTGTCTTAAATGATAAGACCTTTCAAGTCAACATCTGTTGCTTTTGACTCTGTTACCTTTGCTACAAATTGCAAAAGTACAGGCAGGAGATTGTATGATGAGAGCCATGCCAAACGGTCAAGGTTCACTGATAGTAAAAGGCATAGATCCTCTATACTGTTTATTAGCTTATACATTAACTGAAATGTATAGGCAAAACAAAATGAAAATCAATCTGTCCAAGGAATACAGTTTCATACTGACTTAGGAGAAAATAATGTCAGTCACTGAGCAACATTATACATTTTTATTATTATCGTGCATTAGATGAGTTTAATTACAGCAGAAGGACAATGAACGGTGGATGAGAAATATCATCCGTTTATTTCATTATTGTATTGATACAGTCTCAGCTGTCTCTACAGTACAGTAGTATCCATTCTAAATTTCCCCACTTTCCTTTATCGGCCCTTGGCTGGTCCTTGGCGGCTTCCTCGCCTGTCCATGGCTGGTCCCCTACAATTTCTTTTTAAACATCAATCTTTGTTCTAAAATATTCACTAAGTGTCACTAGTGTAGACACTAAGATCTAAAGAGAAGCGTCATCTCCCTGTACTTCAGTGACAGGGGGAAGTAATGGTAAAAAAAAAAATAGCACTGCAAGGAAAAGGAGGGGGTCACTCCAGTGGCTGAAAGTTTGAGGGGAATTTGCAGAGAGTTGCAGGGGGTCTGCTGCCAATCGGCTGGCGTTTGACTGGGAAGGGCCATTGTGAATGGCTGCTACTTTAGGTAACTTCACTCCCAAATGTCCCAAACTGTAGAGACTTGCATGTCACTGTCTACAGGGACACAACTAAACCAGAGACAGACAGGATCCAGACTGAAGATAAACATTAAACTAAAACAGCTGATGACCTCTTCTTCATTTCACCTTTGGAGTTTAACATCCTCTGTAACAATTATCCAGCAGGTGGATGGGTCCATTCCAGGTGTTGTAGACCAACCGCACAGCAGTAAAGCTAGTGGAGAGAACCATCTGAGTCCAAGCCTCCAACTGAGAGAAGTCCACTGACTGAGTACCAGACCAGGCTAAAGAAGCAGACAAACAGAGCTCAACGGAGGAGCTCCATCAAGCATCCTCCATCAAGCATCTCCATCAACTGCCAAGCTGCCAACTACATTGCCCCACTCGGTAAGAGAAATCCTACCTATCGCAGCATTAAGAACAATCTGAGGATCCGGACGCCTGGAAGCTGCTTCTAAACACGAGGGACAAGCTTCATCCTCAGAACTTTTCTCCTATCACCGTCTTGTCTTCTATACATCTGAGCAGAAGTTTCCAGTAAGGTCACTGCAGCTCTACAATCACACAAACACAGATTAGAGGGATATTTTCTAGGAGTGCCAGCACCCCACATTGAAGAAAGTGAACTTTAATACGGCCTTCCAACTCTTTTTGTGAAGCTGGCCGCTCTGCAATAACGGCACCCATCCAAATAGTGTACCACTGCACTCTGGGCATGCATGTTCTGCTTGGAACAAGGAGGAACACTGGGAAATTATAGATAAGGAGATTGCATTGGTTACCAATGCCCACTGAATATCAAGGTGCTGCTGTCAAAGTAATTTGCAATGACTTCCAGTCCCACTGCACCGTGGCTTTCATGTGCTGGGGATAAAGTGCTGTAACTGGCTCCTACAACACAGCCAAAGACAGAGGACTTGTTTAGCAGCAGCAGCAGCAGGATCAGCCTGGACTAGAGATGTCACATTAAAAGCTCCAATGGAAGAAATTTCAGTGTCTGACATTTAATTGGTGAATTCAAACATGTTAGTATATAAAAAAAACTACAGACTGATTATTTTCTAAATGTATTAAAAATGTAAACCCATCCAAATCATGTCCTTCATATTCTCATCATGGCCAGACACAGATCATTCAGAAAAAAAAAAAAAAAAACCCAAACTGAACGCAGGCTTCTGACATGGGGAGACACAGACCAAAAACACAGACTAACAAACCTCCCGCATGTCAGAACAGGGCCGAAAAACAAACCCGAAAAGAAAAAACAATCTTATCCTACC